TTTAACCTTTATTTTATCTCATGAAGTCCCTCAGTGACACACCCTGAACAGTCTGGGGGGGTCGTGGTCCAGGTCATGTGACTTTGTGTTCCCATAGCAACATGTCCAAGATGTCCATGTGCCAGGCTAACACATGTGACAGAACGAGCTACATTTCAAAAGCTTTGTTGTTTGTTGCTTAAGGTCAAATTCAAGCCTGTTAAGAATGAAAATGCTTACATAACATGTCCTTTATTACATTTAACCTGTTGTGGAAACATTTCTTGATCAAATTGATATGAAACAAATGAGACAAACATTGCTGTGACACTGCTGTCACATCGGGACATTAACCCTAAACTTTCATAGTTAGGGTGACATATGCACAATTAGAAATATGATTATGATCTGCTCAGTTACTTTAGCTGATTCAATTATAACAGATGGGATTTCTGTTTAAACAAAAAACAGTTTTTCATAAATACTACAGTGTAAATAATCAGATACAAGTCAAAGTCCTGCATTCATCCTCATACAAAGTGAGAGAAGAATATTATTGAACTATAATTATGATGTTCATCAGGGGGGCGGTTTAGGTTACTGTATATAATAATGGGTATCTTTGCCATACATATCATTTTGCTTTACACTACAGGTGAAAAGGAAAGCTGCCTGAAATAAAGACGGATATTATTTGCGTTACAAGTTTCCAGAATGTGTTTAAATATGAAACTAAGCAAAAGGTGCAAAAAGTTATTTTTCTTTTTTACTTTATTCAAGAAAAAATAGGAACATTACAACATATTCACACAAAACCATTCATTAGTGGTACACAGACAAAGTAGAAAGTAAAACAAAAGCAGATATTTAAAATAAAATATGCAAATTATTTTTATGGCCTTCAGAATTATGTGTTATTTTTTAATTGTGCTTTCATACTGCTGGAGTTCTGGCTAGTAACTGTGTTTGGAGTCAGTGGGTATTTCTCAATGTCGAGGACGCTTCCTATAGGACAAGTCCCTACGAGTCAGGTCCATCAGAGGCTTGGCAAGAATCCTTCCTGGCATTCGGAGAACGAAGAATGGAACAGGCGAGCAAGTGTGCAGGTTTGCGTCATATGAGAGGCCCCGCATTACATTTTCCGCCAAAGATTTAGGAAATTGGTCCGTGCGCAAAGCATTGTGGGGATTTTAAGACCGCGGAGGATACACTGGTGCATCCTCGAAATGTCTTGCAACGAAGGATTCAGTCCTCGGTAGAATTCCAAGGATCCTGGACATTGGAACAGTCCTTCGGCGGGATTCGATGACGTAGCATCCTTGAAATAGTGGCTCTGGAGGATGCTTCCTCGACATTGAGAAACACCCAGTCCATCTATTGTATTCTCGTGGATGTGAAATATTCCCATAGATTAAATTAACCGCACAAGAACAAATATAAATATCTTCTCCATCCCATCACCTTCAAATTATAAATAAATGTCTCTTTCCACAAATGTGATTGTTTGCCCTTTTTTTTCAAAAGCAATGACACATTTGTATTCTTATTCACAGAAAGATTTTTATAAAGGGTATTAATCCCTCTTAACTATTTCTCTCTCTTATACATATGGTTGATTGGTATCACTGAGTGCTGCAGATTTCATTTTGGAAGTCTCCATAATGATGGATAGTGTGTTATTAACTTTCATATATTAGAAATACTCTAAGACTGTATATTCATTTTGTAATTATTCTATAAATGCTGGATTTCTTATTTGTACTGTTCTTAAAGGAATACGCATAATTATGCAAAACTGTTGGAATCTTATATTAAAGGTGGGGTATGTCACTGTTTGACATGCCCTCTCCATACACAATGAACTGTAAATGTATTTATTCTAGGATCAACCTCCTTTGAGATGAAGCCCTCTCGTTTTTCAAGGGGCTCTGTAAAGCAGAGCAAAGGACAGCAAAAAAAACAAAAAAAACACAAATCAGAGTCACCAATGACAAAAACCAACAGAACTACTTACAATCACGCAACACAAACAGGTCTAAGGTGTGTGGTCCACAGAGAGTTCATGAAGAGTTCAAACAATTTAAAATAGGCCAAAATATATTAGAACATAAAGACCAGATAATTAACTTAAAATAAAGAGCAGCCGCTGAGGCACTAGTTAGCGGATCTTACGCGAGGGCAATGATCCAGGTCCAGGACAGAGATTCCTCCATTTGTGCAGGTGTGTAATTCCCGAATAAACAACAGGTACAGACGCAAACAGGTTCCTTATCCCGTGGTTCCTTAAGCCTCTTCCTATGGCTTTCCTTTTGCTGGCTTGTTGAACACCCTGGTAAGAAGAAACCGTTCTGCCTACTATGTCGCTCTGCTCGCCACTTCCAGCCTGTCTCCAATACGTTACAATTACACCAGCGTGCTCTAATCACCCATGGCCCAAAAACATGCCTTCGAAAATAAAAGCAGTAGACAAACTAGCTTAACTTGAGGGACGTCGTAACTAAGAATTACATTTGATAAATGATGAATAATAAGTAAACAGCAAGAAAGATAAATGTTAACTTTTAAGAGAATATAAAGAGGGATATTATAGCTCCAACAGGCAGTTTACAACTTCTCAGCGAAAAGAAGAATAAAAGCAGTTGTGTGTTTGGTGTACCGGTATGTCAATCCTGAAGGGAGCGCGGCGTGAACACTAAATATCCGATATCGTCGTAATAAGATATGTGGCATTGGACTAATGGGACAAATACTTTCCAAAAAACCAAGACAATAAATAGGAGGTCAAATGCCTTCTGTTGTGCAGTGCAAACCGTGCGTGACCAGAGTTGTATCATTGTGGTTGGTATTTTGTTTGTTGTGGTTATTGGCCCTTAGGCCGCGAGCCGAGAGCCCGGGGGGTTGTCGTTCTTGTAGTTGTCTGTCAGTGTTGTTTCTGACTTGTGTTCTTTCAGCGTTAGCTTTATCTTTTTTTTGCCGCGGCGGCTTAATGGCTCTCTCTTGAGGCTCTTATCTCCACACCGTCGGGGACAGTCGGGACGACCGGACTTGGACATCCTGCTCGGGCCGAGCAGGACACCGAAGGGGACGGGCCGGAGCCGAGGTCAGTCGGTGTGATGTTCACGGTCTCGGACGAACGATCCGGGATTCTTTTGAGAGCGGCTCTTCTGGAGACGACGCAGGGAAGGGGAAACACCGACAGTCGCTGACTGTGGCGTTCTTTTATCGTGTAGTTGGCACGGGGGCTGCGCATGAATCCACCTCGCCGGTTTAAAGTGGACCTTGCATGGCTATATTTGAACTGAACTAAGGACCCATACGTATATAGAGCATGTATTTATACTTTTTATTTTGTTCAACTAATCACCGAACAGGATATGCATTTAAGCCATTCTCGGTCATTGTCGCTCAATGTAACACTGTCTTTGCATCATGGGCTGATTCAGTGAGAACAGGCGACATCTACAGGCTGGCGATACTGTGTTACTACAGCGTCTCCAGCGCTTTCCAACGGCAATGTCGCGCGCTCGCGCTGATACAACTCAGACGACTCATTGGTTGAGTTGGACTTATCTTAATTAGCCGTAAGCTGTCCCATCTTCTGTGACGTCATAGGAAGTGTAACTCAACTAATCTGGTCAGTCCTGTATCAGACTCCGTAATGTAGCCCCTTTTTTTAGAGAATCTTGGGGTGAGGCAAACAGGGGAGAGAGGNNNTTTTAGTAGTGACGTCATGACGCAGCAAATCTGGATCAGCTCCGTTGTTCCCCCGTTTTTAGAGATGTGGGTACAGAGGAAAAGAGAGAGGGCTTTATTTACTGACACTTTGAGAGTCTCCTGACACACCAGGGGGACACATGGTGACACACCGGGGGGACACATGGTGACACACCGGGGGGACACCGGGGGGACACCGGGGACACATGGTGATGTAGAAAAGATATCACTTTGAGATTCTCCTGACACACCGGGGACACAGGGGACACACATCGGGGACACACCGGGGACACATGCTGATGTAGAGAAGACATCACTTAGAGAGTCTCCTGACACATGGGGACACATGGTGATGTAGAGAAGACATCACTTAGTGAGTCTCGTGACACACGGGGACACATGGTGAGAGAAGACATCACTTAGTGAGAGCACTTTGCAGGATGCTTTGAAGCAGCAGGGATGTTAGGAAGAAGCTGCTTCTCAAAGCCTAGCTCTGAGCGTGTTCCCTGACACACCGGGGGGACACCGGGGACACATGGTGAGAGAAGACATCACTTAGTGAGAGCACTTTGCAGGATGCTTTGAAGCAGCAGGGATGTTAGGAAGAAGCTGCTTCTCAAAGCTCTGAGCGTGTTCCCTGTGTGTTCAGGACCTGGAGCAGCAGCTGTCGGAGCAGAAGAAGCTCCTCCAGTCTGTGGCCATCAGAGGAGAGGAGATCCTGATCCNTCTCCTGACACACCGGGGACACACGGGACACACACCGGGGACACACCGGGGACACACCGGGGACACATGTTGATGTAGAGAAGACATCACTTAGAGAGTCTCCTGACACACCGGGGGGACACCGGGGACACATGGTGATGTAGAGAAGACATCACTTAGTGAGTCTCCTGACACACAGGGACACATGGGTACACATGGTGATGTAGAGAAGACATCACTTAGTGAGTCTCCTGACACACCAGGGACACACCGGGGACACATGGGATACACCGGGGACACACCAGGGACACATGGGGACACACCAGGGACACACCAGGGACACACCGGGGACACAGCGGGGACACATGGTGATGTAGAGAAGACATCACTTAGTGAGTCTCCTGACACACTGGGACACATGGGGACACACCGGGGACACACCGGGGACACATGGTGATGTAGAGAAGACATCACTTAGTGAGTCTCGTGACACACGAGGACACATGGTGAGAGAAGACATCACTTAGTGAGTCTCCTGACGGGGGACACATGGTGATGTAGAGAAGACATCACTTAGTGAGTCTCCTGACACACGGGGACACATGGGGACACATGGTGATGTAGAGAAGACATCACAAAGAGCACTTTGCAGGATGCTTTGAAGCAGCAGGGATGTTAGGAAGAAGCTGCTTCTCAAAGCTCTGAGCGTGTTCCCTGTGTGTTCAGGACCTGGAGCAGCAGCTGTCGGAGCAGAAGAAGCTCCTCCAGTCTGTGGCCATCAGAGGAGAGGAGATCCTGATCCAGCAGGCATCCCCCTGCAGCCCCATGGAGACCCTCCCCCCCGCGGTGAGGGAGGGGGAGAACAGGAGTCACATGAGGAAGAAGTGGGAGAGTCTTCGTCTGGAGCTGAGGACCAAACTGAAGCTGCTGCAGGAGACGCTGGAGCAGGAGAGCAAGGAGCAGCCGGTAACACCAAGCTTTCTCACCATGTCTCAGCAGATACAGGGCAGATGTGTGGAGGACAAACTGAAGTCCTCCTCCAGCAGAGCAACAGGGATATAGGATATACAACTAATACAACTGATCAAATAGTGAAGAGAATGTTTTAAGATCTGCAAGTTAATACAAATAAAGTAGATGGAATATGATTTATAGAGAAATAATTAGCAGGAAGCAAACAGGTGAATGTTTGTGGACGGTCCTCACAGAGCTCAGCTGTTCAACAGTCTGTGGGACGAAGCTGTCTCTGAGTCTGGGTTCAGTTCTGATGCTGCGGACAGAACCGTGTGTGGCTGGGTTTGAAGACGGAGCAGTGAAGAGCTTCATGATGAGCCTGTCCCTCTGTCCCTCTGTCCCTCTGGTCTGCAGGTTTATACGCGGGCGTGTCGAGTGTCAGCAGCTGGATCTGAGGAGGACAGATCGTCTCTGAACTCTCTGTACCACAGCTTCAGACACACCGTGGAGGACATCGCCTCACAGGTAACCCTCACTGCTTATTGACTCATTCAAAACATGAACATCTGAGAAGGTTCTAAAGGTTGATGGTCTAGTTGGTGCAAAACGACACATCAGTGCACAACGTGTCCCTCTTTAATGCCTGTGTCTCCTGATGGAGGCCCTCGTCACACACGGTGCCTGATGGACCGTGTGAGGGTTCTACATCTGAGACAAAGAGTTTCTGTCTGTGAGAAAAGATGTGATTGTGACGCTCTTCTCTCGCAGCCGGGGGGGGGCGAGGCCCAGGTGGAGCAGATGGAGCAGCAGCTCTACTCGGCCGTGTCCTCCACCTCCTGCTGGCTGGACGGGGTGGAGAACTCTGTGTTCTCTGGATCTGTGATGCTGAGGGAGCAACCGGACACTCAGGTAAACACACTGCAGGTACACACACACACACACACACACACACACACACACACACACACACACACACACACACACACACACACACACACACACACACACACACAGGTAAACACACTGCAGGTACACACACACACACACACACACACACACACACACACAGGTAAACACACACACACACACAGACACACACACACACACACACACACACACACAC